TTGAGGTCCTGGGGTCAATGCTCAGCACTATACACTCAAAAAGGAATGAAGTACTGACATAGGCTAAAAGTAGATGAACCTTGAAAACATTATGCAAGTGAAAAAGAAAACCAGTCATGCTGGGCACCCTAGTGCAGCTTCTTGGGAGACTGAAACAGGAGGATCACAAGTTCAAAGCTAGCCACAGCGACTTACAGTGACTTTGTCTCAAAAGATAAAAAAGGCTGGGGATGTGGCTCAATGGTTCATTCCCTGGAATCAAAACAAACAAACCCTAGTCATAACAGACCCCATGCTGTATCATTTTATTTATGTGAAATTCCAGACTAGGCATTTCTGTAAGACCAAAGGTAGTTTAATGGTTGCTAAGGGTTATGGTGGAATGGGAGGAAGGAAGTGGAGGGGTTGGGAGGTAATGACTAAGAGGATCAAGGTTTCTTTCCAGGGTGTTGAAGATATTCTAAAATTGATGTTGATTTTGATTTTAGCAAATAGCTAGAGATAACCATTTAATATGAGTTCTGTGCCAATTAGCTGTTAAAAAGTAAAGCCAAAAAACCTTCAATGCTTTGTGGCTAAAGAAGTACAAAACCCCCATCGTAAGAGCCTCCAAGTGGAACCGGCCCCCGCCTACCTGCCTTGGTACACCTCTTCTCAGATGCTGTCTCCAATCCACATGAGCCTTCTTCCTGTTCCTCAGGCACTTGGAGCTTGCTCCCACCCCATCACCTTTGCACCTGCTCTTCCCTCTGCTGGGAATGCTCTTCATAGCACTCCTCTTGGCCAGGTCCCTCTTATTATATAGCTTTCAATTAAAGTCACCTTCTCAGAAAGTTCGCCACTTCCTGTAACGTAGCCCTAGGTTGCCTGTTTTAACTTTATATGGCTCCGACACACACACACTTGTTTCTTTCTGGTTTTCCCTCTGTGTGCCTGTGTCTGCTGCAGGATGGGAGAGGCCAGATAGAACTCAGGGCTCAGGTTGCCTGTGGCCTAGCATCCCGCTGAGCCTCACCTCCAGCACGTCAATGCTCTCCTTCACCCGGATCTTGGCTGTCTTGAGATTCTCCCGAAGTTGCTTGTAATAGGTTGATGGTACAGTCAGGAACTCCATGCCTCTCTCTTGCAAGTTGCGAATCTGTCGCAGAGCAGGTTGAGGTCAGCCCCTGTGTTTCCAGGCTCAATGTCCCTAAGCCAGGTGGACCTCCTGGGCCACAAGGAGGCAGGATCCCTGTCTTTGCTCTCCTGAGTGCCAAGATGCAAGTGGCCTCAGCCCCTTCTGTCCTTGTCTGAATCCCATTAGAGTAGGGATCCATGACGTTCACAGAGCACCCATTATGTGCCTGTCTTTCTAGTCTTGCCTCGTCCTGTCCCTGAAGCAATCCTGCTCTGTGCATTTCATAGCTGGGAAACTGAGGCATGGAGAGATTTAAGTATCTGTTCTCAGCAGAGAAGCCAGAGTGGATTTTATTCAAACACAGGCCAAATCATGCCACTCAGTGCTTACCTCGGGGTGGTGCCTCATCTCAGAGTCCAATTCCAGGTTCTTGCCAGGCCCTCACCAGCTGCCCCCACTTCCACCTTAGACTCCATCTCCCACCTCTCTTTCCCTTGCTCATTCTGTTCCAGTCACACTGATGATCTCCTTGCTGTTCCTGCAACCTTCCTGGAAGATGTCCATCTCAGGGCCTTTGCCTGGGCCATCCCTCCTGCCCGGGGTCCTTCTTAGAGATTTCCACGGGCTTCTGTCCTTCCAACCCTTTGCATTCTCAAAAGTCTCCTTCCGTATGTGACCTTCCTTCACCCACTTTAAAGGTGAAAATCCCCCACCCTTGTTCCCCCACATCCCACCTGGATTCTTCCAGACCTCTCACACTATCTATTTATTTAATTTGCTTTTTGTCTCCATAAGAGCAGAAACTGTTACTAATGTGTCCCACATACCTAAAATAGCACCTAGCACATGGCAGAGCCTCAACAGGCATGATAGAAATGAAGTTCCAAAGGATTGGATGGGACAGTCCAGGCTCTTCCCCTTAAGGACTAGGCAGGACCCGCCTCCCCAAGGGACAGAGCCACAGACACAGGGTGCTTAATTTGGAGGAAAGCACAAGTCTGATCTTGTAGTATAATATCCATATTTTCAAGGTGAAGCAGCTGAAGCCCAAGAAGGCTGCTGAGTGACCCAGAGACAAATGGGGACTTGCAGATCTGGGAGCAGGATGCAGTCTTCCTTATCCTCTGGCATCTGCCACCATTAAAGCCCAGAATGTTCTAGAGACACCAAACTCTTCCAAGTGAGGTGGGTAGGGATTACTTACACAGGTGTGGGGACCCGCTTTGAATGATCACATCTTCCAGTCCTGAAGCACGAGGCTCTGACCAATCACTACATTTTGTAGTGACTTGGGCCTTGTCCCAGCTCAGATAGCAAGGCCGGTCTTCAGGTGTAGGCATACGTCTGAGGTTGAGTTACACTCACCTGCCCCCTTGTAATTCTACACTTTCTGCTCTTTTTTTGGGGGGTGGAACTTTCTAAGAACAGTGCTCCCCCAAATAAAAGCTCACTTCCCAACATGCTCTCTCTCTCTCATCAGCCTCTCCTGACTTTGTCTTGCTCTCCCTTCTGGAGCCTGAGGCCCAGAGCCTGGGGAAGCCATCCTGAAGCTTGTGTAAATGTAAATTGTGTCTGTGTTTTATTTTGCTTCACCACAAATTCACACGCATAAACCTAGGTCAGCTGCCCATGCTGGATGGGGGTGGCAGCAGGAGTTGCAGGAACCAGGCAAGGAACCCTGTCAGCCCTCTAGGCTGGAGAAGGGGACCCCAGACTGCCACTGCCCCCTCCCTCCCCATTCTGCAGAGAATTTCCCTGGAGCTGAAGAGAGGAGTCTTAAGACCAGGGATGGTGGGCTGGGGTTGTGACTCAGTGGTAGAGCGCTCGCCTCCCACATGCGAGACTCTGGGTTTTATCTTCAGCACCACATGAAAAAAAATAAACAAGTGAAATAAAGGTGTTGTGTCCAACTACAACTAAAAAAAAAAAAAAAAAAAAGACCAGGGATGTTGTTCTAACCGTTGTGATGATGTCCTGGGTCTTGAGACCGACGTGCTGGACTCCAGCTCCCCCATTATAGTCCACATATTCCTGGGAAAGGCCAACAGGAGGCCCCTTTCATTGCTTCTGTTCCCCACACCCCTGCCCTGCCCTGCCGGAGGCCTCAAGCCTCTTCCCTCCTCTCTCCCTCTCCACCCAGGCAGGGCCGCACCTGGATCGAGGACTTCTTCATGCCCATTGCGGGCTCATTAATGGGCATCTTGATGGTCTCCTCATAGTTGGTCACCACAATGGAGCGCAGAGAGCTGTACTCTGTGTGCACTTGTGTGTCATCCACAGACCAGAAGCGGTGGAACTGTAGGTTCTTCAGGTACCTGCAGGTGGCAGGCAGGACACATCTGCTCTGAGTTCTGGCCTGGGACTGGCTTCCCCTGCTCCCACTTCCACCCTCCAGAACATGTCCCCAAGGGGGCTCCAGAAGGGAGATGACAATCACATCATACATGCTGTAGGTCTTTACCCTTGTTGTGACAGTTTTTCTCAAGGTGGAAATAAAGTGTCTCATATCAGAAGCCACATAGGAGGCCATGCTCAGGCAGGGGGACTGGGTGGTGCAGGGGGCTCCTGTGCCTCCTGCTGGCCTTTAACTGCTAGTGCAATGGTATTAGGGAACCTTGAGAGGTGATTAGGTCACCCAGGGCTCTGCCTCATGAGTATGTTAATGTTATGGTCAGAGTCAGTTCCCATGATTGGGTTTGTTCTAAAGGGAGTTCAGGCCTCTGCTCTCTGCTCTAGTCTGTCCCCACTTCCCACAGTGGGAGGCCAGCAGGAAGCAGACCAAGTCAGGTAGAGGCATCTGTCCCCCATGCTGACTGGAAGGGACACCCCTGCAGTTCCTCATGGGGGAGATGTGGATTGCAGTAGGCCCTGATCCTCTCATTCTTCAGGGGACAATGTATGGGGAATAAATGGAGGGCTGGCCCCAGGTTCATCTCCCACCCACCTGTGCTCCTTTCCACCTGGTACAAGGACTAGGGCGAGGGCCCTTGTGGGGGAGGGACAGGGCTCACCATTCGGAGGCAGACAACATCTCCTGATCAGGCTGATTTCCTACAACGTGATCAATGATCTCGAGACCACACTTGGGCCTAGGAAAAGGACAGCACTGAGGGGCATTGAGAAGGCTGCCCCCCAAATCTCAGCAATCCCTCTGCACCCCACATAATAGCCACATCCCCCACCTCTGCAGCTCTTACAGGGGGCCAAAGCACTTAATTAATTCATTAGTGCAAACCCGACTTTATAGATGAAGACCCAGGGCCATCAAAAACTGCAGCACCCTGGCCAAGGTCCACTGGTTGAGGAGGGAGGAGGCTGGGATGGGACCTGGGGCCCTCAGGTGTTTGGGCCATGTGCTCTGTGCTCTAAAGGGCTCCAGCAGCTACCAGGAGCTCGGTCCCATCACAGAAGCCCAGTCCACATGGAGGAGGGGGATAGGCTCTCCACCAGCCTCAGGGCTCTCCACCCGACTCCTGCAGCATGGGCACTCACAGCTTGGGAAGCAGGGAGTCCTTGAGCAGGGGGGCCTCGAATCCAGGCAGGAACCGGCCGGTGTAGTTCGTCTTCTCTACCAGAGTGTGTGTGGTGTCCCCAAACTAGGGGAGGGAAACAGACTGGCTCAGCCCTAGGACCCCACCCACCATGGCTGGGTCTTTTCTGCCCCAACCCAGCCCTGAGTTCCTAAGACGACATGTGATCTTGGGAAAGTCACTTCCCCTGACTGACATGTATTGCCATCTGTCATTCTCTTAGGAGTTTCACCATCACAGTCTACCTGCCTCAGGGGACCAGAAGCCCTGTGAGGACAGGGATGCTGTTTTGCCCATTATGGTGTCTCTTGCTCCTAGGCAGTGCCTGGCGCATAGCAGGTGCTCAGTGAAACTGTGTTGATGATGATAACCATGGAGGCATCGGCTCTAATCATGCTGAAGGGTGATCAATGGGATTAGGCCTGATGTGATCTTGAGGAGGTGGGACCTCGGGCCGTCTCTGTCCTACAGCAACAAGGGCTGCAGAATCAGTCATCTCTGCTAAGTGCCTACGGTGTGCCAGGCTCTGCTCTTCTAAGTGTTCTACGCCAATGGTCACACTCAGCACTCACAATGGCCATGATTAGGGTTCCAGCTGAAGGATCCGAGGCACAGAATGGTGCATTAGTGTGCCCCAGGTCACACAGGAGTCCAGTTCCACCTTATTTAAACTGAGTTGCAGAGAGGGAAGTAGGTCTCACAGCTAGTGTGGGGTATGGCTTCCCAGGCCCACCCTTCTCTCCTTTTGAACAAGTCCCTGCACAAAGCTGATGCCCCGCAAGCTGTCACCTCCCACTGGGGGGGCCAGGGGAACCTGGGAAGGGTGGCTGGTGGCCCCTGTCACCTCTGCACTCTGGCCAGGCATTTTGAGAGGTCAGATCCCAGGGGAAGCCCATGTTCTGAGGCCCAAGGGTGGGATGGTGTAATGGGGTGAATTAGGAGCATCCTGGCATCTCAGTGGGTTCTGGCAGCAGGAGGGGCAGGGACATCAAAGGGAACTCACCGTCTGCAGCACAGCAAACTTCACCTTCCCAAACTTGTCTTCCTCCACCCAGGGCTCCCGCACTATCTTGGCCCCCCGTTCTCGGGCTTTCTGCAGGGAGATGGAGCAGGGGAAGGCAGTGAGGGCTGGGGCCCCCGAGTCCTGGCCTGCTGCTCTGGCTAGGTTGGTTTCTATGTGGTTCAGAAATGGCAATGTCACCTGTCTCCCCCACCAAAGTGTGACTCATCCCCGTTGAGCAAGAAGGGAAACTGAGGCCCAGGCTCAGAGTTGGGGCTTGGGAGACAAGGCGGTGTGTGTGTCTGCTTCTCCTAACTCACTCTGTGGCCCTCCTCCCCCTCCAGTCCTCAGCATCCCTCCCTGTACAAAGAGTGGAGGATAAGAAGAATGGGGGTAGACATTTCTAAAGTGACCTCTGTGTGTCGGGCCCTGTGCCAGGAGCCCTGCATGCCAAGTCTGTGCCTTAATTTAGCAAGCCCTTGCTTACTGCAGGCCAATGCAACACCCAGGCCAGGCTTGTTCTGGGGATGCACTTGGCAGTCCTCACAGCAGCCCTGTCTGCCTTCTACAGCGAGGAACACGAACTCACCCAGACCCAGTCATGCTAGCTCTGGAATCTACTCTGAACCTCCAATCCATCTTTTTTTTTTTTTTTTTTTTTTTCTCCTTCAGTGCTGGGGATTGAACCCAGGGCCTCACCATTCTTTAGGACTGCATTTGGTTCAGAGTCATAGTCCAGAAATTGTAATTTCCACTCTCCCCACCCCCATCTCTCTCTCTCTCTCTCTCTCTCTCTCTCTCTCTCTCTCTCTCTCCCTCTCTTTCTCTGGTACCCGTGTTTGAAACCCAGGGGCACTTAATCATTGAGCCATATCCCCAGCCCTTTCTAGTGTTACTTTGAGACAGGTTCTCCCTAAGTTGCTTAGAGCATCACTAAGTTGCTGACTCTGCCCTTGAACTTTTGATCCTCTTGCCTCAGCCTCCTGAGCTACTAGATTACAGGCATGTGCCACCATGTCTGGCTCCATTTCCTCTTTTAAAACTTAGTGAGGTACAGGCTATGATTATCCCCATTTTACATGTGTGGGAACATGAAAGCGAGGACACACAGTAAGGGCCAGGCTTCTGTCACTAGGACTTAGGTATGTCATGCCAACATCCAGCCCTGACTGACAGGGTCCCTGTGGCCCACGGAGAGCCAGATATGCCTAAGGCCTCTTCCCAGGCCAGCCCAGGTGCATTCTCACCTGCACAATGTAGTCACAGTCTTCCACCTCGAAAGCCACGTCCTTCACGCCATCCCCGTGTTTCACCAGGTGGTCGCCCATCTCTGTGGTCGGCAGGGAGTGCTGGCACTGGAGTTCAAGGCCCCTGGACAGGCTCTCAGCCTTCTGGGCTCAGCCCCCCTCATGCCCTTCCCAGGCCCTGCCCTCTGACCCCTGGCCCCTCCAACAGCCCTGCTGCCACCCCGGGGCCCCTCACCTTTGTTCCAGGGGTTGAGTGCAGAGGAGAAGACAAACACAATCTACCATGGTGGAGAAGGGGGTGTGACCGGTGGCTCAGGGGAGCGTTGGTAGGTGCACCTCCCCTCCCTCCCGCTCACCCGCCCACTCACCTCTTGGTGAGCAGGGGGCTAGCCATGCAGGACTCCTGAATTACAGCTTCTAGCTCCTTCTCTGTCTTGCCTCTCCCCCGTCCTGAGGGCTGGGGACTTTCTCCCGTGCCACCCCTGGGACCCATGATCAGCTGTTGGGTCCCCTGGGAGAGAACTCCCAGAACCCCATGGGCCACAACTCTGCTGAAACTTCCTACACCTATGGCCTTGGCTTGCTGAACTTGTGGGGCCAGCACTGGACCAGGCTGAGGAGACCCGCCTGGGAAGGTCCCTGTTGCAAAGGTGCCGACCACGTTAGAGCCCCCAAGAGAGCCCTGAGAGCAAGGGGTCCCTGGGGTGTGGACGTACCTTTCCTTGCTTGACCACATGGCTGACTACCTCCCGGGAGCCCGTCTCCAGGCCCCTGTAGGCTAGTGGCTCAAAGCCCATCTTGCTGCAGTAGAAGGAGGCAGCCTAAAGACAGAGAGGTGACAGTGTTCGGGAGGGTGGAGAACCTGCCTGGGGCCCAGATGAGAGTCCCTGTCCCCTGCCTGCCCTCTTGCTCAG